GAGGTGCGGGCGTGCTGCTGCAGGTACAGGTGAGGTGACACGATGAAGTATGATGTAGGAAGTGAGGATGCCCCCGAACACAGAGGACTAGTCATCGCACGCTGATGTTTGGGTCAGTAAAAAAAATTAACCAACAGACATCACCATGAAACTTTCCTAGTTGATTACTGACATTAGGACAATCATGTTTTGTATTGCTTGTTTTCTGAAATGTTATGTTTAAATATGCAAATGAGGCAGTATCTATTTAAATACGCACTAATCTGAACACTGGATGAAGTCATGTTCAAAATGATTTTCTTATTTTGTTGACATGTTAGACTCAAATATTTTTACAGAGGGGATTTTGGATATTTCTTTTTATTAGGGAATAAAATGTTCGCTAGTTCAGGCTGTGGACGATATGTGAACAAAGCCCTCAGTACAAACCTTCAGAATATAGTCAGGAATAAACCTGGAAAGTTTGGTGTCTGTAAGAGCTGAGAGATTTCAGGCTCTAGAGATGCAAGGTGCAAAAGAAGTGACCACACAGAGACGAAGCTCTGCAGCAGATGATCTAACTCTGCTCTTCAGGTCTCTGTAGTGACGTGTGTCTCTGCTGGACCTCACTGAGACCACCTGATGAACTGAAGCTGGTCTGCAGCCTTGTGTAGTCCTGGTCCAGACTGACACCCTTCACGCTGCTTTCTCCTGTAACTCGTCTCCATCTGTAGTTAATGAGCCTTTAAAATACTGATTTCAAGCTTACGCACAAAGCGAGCCGACCTGCTAACGGCAAAAGCAGTACCGATTGTGAATGTGTTGAACAACCAGCGAGGAGTTCACGTCGCAGCGTGACGTCCGCTTCACCCTGGCAAGATCTTTAAACCGCCACCTGTCCAAAAGATGACACTCATCTCCAATCTTCAGCTTAAAAACAGAAACTTCCCAAGTAAAGACTCTACAGCTCCGCTGTAACTCCTAAACTGATCGATCATGCTGATGACTCAATGACGGGGTGTACTTCGTGTCCCGAGGCACCGCAGCGAGCGGACGGCTGGGCCGAGCCGGTCCCGAAGACGGTTGTGTACGTGGTCATCCTCCAGAAGACACAACGAAACTGATGAAAACTGTGTACAGATATAAGTGAGCGGTACGCCACGCTCACATGTGTAATGAGAACTGAACGTCAAGGCATGGTTCTGGCCGTGTCACAAGACGAAAGGCCCGGGTCGTGGCCGCCGCCCCCGATACTCTGGTCAGAACAGGAAGTGCAGCTCCCGGATGGAGTTTGAAGACTTCTGTTTTTTTACCTGTGACTAACCGACCAATGAAAAAAGTCAGCCTCTTCTCCTCGGCTTGGTCCACCACCAGGGGGCAGCAGCACTAGGAGGAGGTCCAGTTGGAGGATCAGGTACCACTTTATTATGGTTCTATCTCCTGTCTCCATGACGACAGAAGTAAACAATACAACCACATTACAAAGTCATCTTGCAGGAATGTGCGCCTGTGGACGACATGTGATTGGCCGGATCGTGTTGCATTGTGTCGAGGCAGGTTAAAGTGTTTTTGCAGATGACGCTGCTCTGTTCGTCCCGATGGAGGAGGCTGTCTGAACACGCAGCTACAGTTACTTCACTGAAATGTTGAAACTTCTACAAAGAGTTAGAGCTGGGGTTCCCAAAATAATAAAGCTGAGCTGTTTTTGGGGTGTTGCTTTTACATTTACTTATTTAGCTGACCTGTTTTCCCAAAGCTATTTACAGTTGCTATAAATATCAGAGGCAGCTAGGGGTTAAGCGTCTTGCTCAGGGACACATTGGTAGGAATGTCACTGTGGGAATCAAACACTCTCACACCAAAGGCATGTGTCTCATCCACTCTGCGTGTTCACCACCCCCCTCTGGTTTGTTTGTAGAGCACTACTAAAATGATCAACATCACACATGAACTGGTTCCAGCTCAGACCTGCACCCAGGTAAACAGGTAGGGAACCACTTTGTCAGAGTCCTCTGATGGTGGACTAACGTCTCCCAGAGATCCAGTCTGACTGTGTCTGTGGGGATCAATCCTCCAATCAGAGAGACAGGGTCAAAGGTCACACGAGGGGTTAACTTCAATAAACCGGGTCATATGTCAGCAACATCAGGGTCCAAGACCATACATCACACGGGCCGAGTGCCAGATCACCTAGAGTCAACATCAGGACACCTTCACAGACAGACGGCACCATGTCTGCTTGATGTTACCAACGGCCCCTTTACACCGGGCTCCAGAGAACCTGGATATGATTTTACCCTGAGTACACCTGGCGTTAACATGCATCGCCACACACGGACATTTGGAAATAAAAGCTTCTAGTCTTTGACTAGAACCAGCGCCCCCTGGCTAGCTAGCAGGATGTTCACTCTCCTCCTGGGCCTGTCGAGTTTGTAGCGGCGGTCAACATCACAGCCAGGCTTTAGCAAACGCCTCCTGAGCCAATCAGAGACAGAGTAGGGACGGGTCTTCACAAAAGGCATGCTGGGTAGGCGTGCACAGCGATCAGTCCAGCCTCTCCTGTAGGCCAGATGTTGCTGCTTTCGACTAAAAACACAAAACTACGTTTCTTATTCTGAAACCGCAAATCAAGAAATTTCAGAGGTAAATTTAGGTTTTCAAAGTAAAATGTTTCAATGCTCATGAACGCTGAGGATGGCGACGGGGGGATCACGTCACACGCCAACATGTTCCTCTCTTCTGAAGTCTGTGCAGTCTGAGGCGCTAACTGATCCATCAAACATTTATTACATGAGCACAAATTATGACAAATTGATCTTGCCTTGTTTTAATAGCATGTTTCTCTTTCTTTTGGAAAACCCTTTGTGTTCTGTGCTTTTCTTATAAATTATATTTTAACTGCTGCCTGAACAGCCTCAACACAAATAACAATCATTTAGCTGACGCTTTTCTCCAAAGTGACTTACAATTGCTATTTTATTTATGTCAGAGGTCGCACGCCTCTGGAGCAACGAGGGGTTAAGGGTCTCTCACACCAAAGGCATGTGTCTTATCCACTGCTCCACCACCAGCGTTCTGTTGACCCTGAGCTCAGAGGCAGCGTGATGGCAGCTTTTGAAGACATGTCGCTGTTGCAGAGTTGGGGTCTCTGCCGGGGTCAGTGAGGGAGCACAGGAGGAGCCACCACCGGGTTTCCTCTGCTCTCTGGACACAACAGCTGCCTTTCTCTTTGTCTCACTTGTAAATGGGCAGATCTTCTTTTTGACAGCATCAGCTGGCTGCCGGATAGCGGCGGTGAGTGTGTCCGGCATCTGTAATCTCCTGAAATAAGCGTTACGTGAATTTGGATTTCTCGACGGAGGTTACCAACACCTCTAAATCATCTGACCCTAAATTCAATGATAGTTGTTGTTTCTGCTCCATTTTCAGTTTGTTTCATTAAAAAAACAGCGATTAAAAACTGTTTAGTTCGGCGAGATGAGAAAAGTGGCACTGGTTGCTAGGTAACAGACATAAAAGTTGATAACCGCTGTTGGATTGAGTGTTTAGGATTTCCTAACCTACAACGCTGTTGAATGATGCTAAATTTTACTTTCTCTCTCATTTTCCAGGCGTTTTCCATGACTGGAAAATTGGTCAACAGTTTTCCAGGTTTTCCAGGACAGGTAGGAAACCTTGTCACACAGTCCGATAATACAAACGGGTTCTGGTTTCAGTCTGTGTGGATCAACCTGGTTCTCCAACATGTCTGAGCTCGTGTTTTCACTAACATGTCACCTTTATTCATATAAATATATGAAAACACACCCAGTCACTGTGTGTGTACAATCACACAGCGTCTCCATGGTAACACCGCGACTTCCTCACGGCTCAGGTGTGTACAACCTGGTCAGCGTCTGCTGTTCATACAGAGCGAACTGAACTAAGACTGAAGAGCAGAACCCAAATCCAGGGTCCACACATAAACCGAAGACATTACTTTAGCTGCAACGGTCAATACGAGCGGGAGACGTAAAGACAACAGCTCCGTTTTAATAATTCAAAGCACAGAGAGCATCCTGACAGCTGTACCTGTGCTCACCTGTCACACCCTGAGCCTCCACAGCAGCTCTGAGATATTTCCTACATGTCTGCTGCATCACACCGTCCCAGTCTGGATCGGTGGAAACTTCAGGATCTCTAGAATATAAGTTCTGACAGTTTGAAAAAACTGTACTGGTACTGTGAGCTGCTGACAGAGGCGCTTCGGGTGTGTTCATGACGCGCTGCGACGACGACTGAGCCGAACACCTGCGGGTCGAGTGTAAACCGATTCCACCTCGCACACAGAGCAGACGCCTCCCTCTGCAAACACACACTCAGTGCTCACTGTTTCACTGAAAACACCTCTGGACAAATGTTTGAATACTACACCTTGGAGGAAACCCTACACCCTGCAGCCCCCCCCACCCCCTCCCCCACCCAAAAACACACACACACTCTCTCTCTACATGTGCTTTGAACCGGAGCTGCCAGCTGTGTTGGTGATCTTACCATGGTGAACGCAGGGTCGTGTCGGTCGCTGTATATTCCAGTTTGGGATCATTGTTGTCCTCCAACTTAGTCTCTCTCTCTCTGTGGTGTGTCAGGGTCTCTCGTCCTGACCGATCTGATTCTGTTGTAACTCTCAGTGGAGTAGCTCACATGTTAAGCCCCACCCACCAGCTGTCAGTCATTCTTCTCTGGATCCCCCCCCCCCCCCAACTCTGTCTCTCTCTGCTGGCAGCAGAGGGTAAATCCACATTTATTACTAACAAACTAGTTATTCATACACAGAAGCTGATCAATTCATTTTTTTTGTCTTTTCTATTAATATATACACACATTTACAGTTTTTTAATTTTTTTATGTTTAATATTTATTTTTACTATATTTTTATATCTTTTATTATTATCATTTTATATTTTTAACACACAAACACACTTTTACTGTTTATTTAATGTAATGTATGAAATTAATTGTTGAAATATTGTTGCTTTACATTCATGCCAATAAAGCTGAATTGAACTTAAAGTGTAAAATTAAAATGAAATAGCAATAAAAATGTGACTTTTTCAAATAGTAATCAATGAGTACCAGGACCGTCCTGGCCCTGGGAGGTTTTCTGTCAGCTGCAGGTAGTGATCACTTCTGGACTGAGCAGAGAATAATCAGAATCAAAGCTCCAACAGTGGGAAGGATCCGACTACTCTCTGGAGCCTTCTGTTGAATCCATTACGGCACTAACAGGTTCCACATGCTCACTGAGAACAGGGACCTGGACTGAGCTGGATCTGAACAGCTGGAGACAAACTCGGGGTCGGGGGTGCAGTCAGACCCTGAGGAAACCCGGAGATGATGATGTCGCATCATCTGGCTGCAGCTGAAGCAGAGTTCACACGACATGGTTTTAGGCCCGATTCTGTGGTCGACGCTCGCCATTCGTTATGTGTGAACTACTCAACGACGCATCCGAACCTCTCGCTGACGCCCAACGCCAGACAGCACGCTAAATATCTGGAGCCATCGGCCAATGAGAGCAGGCAGCTCCTCTCTGTAGCTCAGACGGTCCCTGCTGCATCACGAGGGGTTTCAGAGTGAAGCCGTCTCCTGCTGGTTTCTCAGCCGCCGCCCACCGCAGCCTTTCAATATAGTGACCGACTGATCGATCGGTTCAGCTCCACACCTAAGGCTGTCACGTTAACAGACAGGTGAAAGCAGCTGTTGCAGGTGTTCCAGGTCTGAAAAGTCAATAACTAATGAATGAATTCATTAGCAAGTGTAATTTATAGGGCTCAGTTCATTAGTCAGCTACTGTATGATATTATAAACAAATAAATGAGGCGAACCTACAGAGAAAACAGCTGTTTGTTATTATGTGTGATTGATCAATGATTTACCCCAGATCACAGCCTGACGGTCACCGAGCTCGGCGGATAAAAATCGTGTAGTGTGAACTCGGCTCTAGCCAACATTATCGGGCTGGCAACAAAGGAACAGCTCACAGAGCTCCTGAGCTTGAGGTTTGTTTCAGCAGTTAGCGTGTTTAGATCCAGCTGTGCGACAGCCAGACTGCATGTTCTGTGTTCTTTCATTATATTAGTGTCAGTGTTACCTGAACACACCTGCTGGTCCCAGGCTGGCACACTGAATGTTTGCAGTAGGAAGCTTTCAGCAGATTAGACCAGACAACGTGAACGGGTCAAACAGGAGCTGGTGATCGGACCCCGACCAAACGCCTGACGCCTGCACGTCTTGCTGCCAGCAGAGGACAGGAAGCTTTTTAGTCCTCTGAACGCTAATGAAGCACGGACATGTTGCTTTGGTCTCCTGTCTCCAGAGGAACCAACGCTTACTCACATCCACTGAGTCTTTTCTATTTGCTGAGTTATCATTTAGTATAAAGAGAGAAGAGATTCAGGCCTTTAAACTGTTAAACATTTTGCTTTTATCCAAAGCGACTTACAGCTGCTGTAGATGTCAGAGGTCACACGCCTGTGGAGCAACGAGGGGTTAAGTGTCTTCCTCAGGGACAAGTTGGTGTATGGGTCACAGTGGGGGATTGAACCCGTGTTTCTCACACCAAATGCATGGGTCTTATCCACTGAGCCACCCCCAAATATATTGAATTAAACGATATGAGAGAGCGAATCAGATCCTCACACTGGAAAAAGTGCAACCAGAGAATCATTAATGGGACGACTGAATGTGCTGCTGAATGAATGATGCGAGCTGTAAGTGGCTGTCCTGCTCCAACACATGTCCATGACGCTGTGTTCAGGACCACGCTCTCTGATACAGACCTATTAACGGTGACCCCGACCTTCTGCGAGCTGACAAATGGCGCTCTGCACAACAACAGACAGCTGCGTCGGCACATAATGAAGTTTCTCTGATGGACAGAGCAGATGAATGTGTCCACTGCGACACAAAAGGTATTAACCTACATCCTGTTCCAACACTTCTGTCTCCCTGCGTTTCCATCAGTGTCCATATGGTTTACCTGCCACATGATGTTCAGTGCGCCGCCGCCTACTCGTCCAGATACACAACGCCGAGCAGACGGTTCTTCACACCCTGTTTGCATTAAAACAACTTCTCCTCAGGTTCAATCCCACCTGTCAGTCATGGCCAGAGTCATTTCTGCACCGCTGCTGTCATGGTAACGTACCGATAATTAGGTGATAAACAGATTTTACTTAATTTTCCTTGTGCATATTTGTTACAACAGATTTTATCAGAACAGTTCTGAATGTTCTGCCTCAGATTTGTTCAAGTGAAAAGTTTAAAACCACACTTTCACTCAGGAGCTTTAAACTGAAGAAATAATGATCTGACATTTATCCTGATAATTATGGAAATAGCCTGAAATGAAATGTTTTATGGTCCGTTTCGCCCAGCCCTCTAACGAACGGCAACACACGGGGCCTGAATCGCTGATCCAGAGAGACGTTCAGCTTCACCAGCAGCAGGAGGTCAGAGGTCACTGCAGACACAAGTTCCTGTCGGGTCTGAGGTCTCCGGTAACCTCCACAGACCCCAGGTCAGTTCTATCCTTCACACCTGGGCGACGAATTCATCACATCGGCCGCAGACGCTCCTAAAGCTCTGGTGACCTTTGACCTTTGCTGTTGACTTTGGCGGGAGGAGGCGGGGGAAATCACCTGCCCCACTCTACAGAAGCGGTCTGTTCTTCTGCAGAGCCTCTCGTACCAAGAGGTCAAAGGTCAACGACATCAGGGGCAGCTCTCGTCGAGGTGAACAAGTTAAAGCCCGGTTTATACTTCTGCTTCAAATCTACGCCGTAGACCGACGCGCACCTCCCCAAAAATGTACCTACTTGTTGCGCAGACCACAGGAGCTGTGATTGGTCGGCTTGGTAGCGTCACATTTCCTCCTGGCCTACAGGAAGTGCTCTGAAGTCAATTTAACTGACGTTTGCCCACAGACGTACACTGTGAAAGAAGCCGCTGTAACACGGTGGGTCCATTTTTTTGAGTGTCACAACTCTCGTGCCATGTTTCACTATCAGAGTTTGATCCATTCGGTAACATTTGGAAAGTCTAGAAGAGCCGCAGGGTCGTTATTTTACCCCATTCAAGTAAGCGGAGAGCTAAACAGGAAGTCAGCTGGCTCAGTGGCAGAAGTCCCCACAGTGGACGCTATAACGCTACTGCCAAGACTGGACCTGCTAACCTAGCTCTAAACAAAAAAAAAAGCATGCTCCTGCCGCTCCGTCACTCAGAATACGAACGCCACCGGTTCTGATCAGCCTCGTGTCAGGTCGTCCGTCCCGTTCCCCGGAGGAACAGAAGCTTTGTTTGTGCTCTGCCTGAGAGGAACTGGATCCAGAGACGCCGCCTGGAGACCAGCTTCAGCTCAGAGACCGGGGAGAACAGGGGCTCTGGTTCTGTTCAGGAGATAATAAGAACCACATTCAGAACAAAAGCTGCGAGTCCGGTTAGCGTCGCTCTGATTGGTTCCATAAAACACAACCACGCATATTCTCTGAAGAGGACACAGTGCATTATGGGTACAGGGAGCAGGACAGGAGACGCTCTGAGGAGGAAATTAAAGAGAGGGCCCGACTGAAGGATCCAGTTAATATCCTGTCGGTGTGAGCAGCTGAGGTAACAGAACACATCATGTCTGCAGAATCAAACACTGAGCGTCTGATCTGAAACTAATATTTAAATATTGATTAAACACACCTACAGACTAATACATTCAGACCAGTGGTCCTCAATTTGGGGTCCGGGGACCTTCAGGTGGCCTTGAGGGGGTTCCAGGGTTCCCCAGCAAAAAGGGCAATCTTTATTTTTTTCACTATAATTCCATCAGTAAGTTACACAGGAACGATTTAGGTCATAGTTTTCATACAGTTGAAGAAAACCCCTTTACAGTAAATACTCTAACGTTTGTAAAGTCGACAGTTGCACAAACTGCCATGCTGTCGATATTCTTTATTATTCTTTTATATTTTTCATAGCTTGTCAATTTCATAATTTATATATTCAGATTATAGTTATGCAAAAAGCCACCAAACAAAATTCCTTGTACGTGTAAACCTACAGAGCGACGAAGCAGATTCTGATTCTAAAAGCAGTATTTCTATCAGAGGGGCGACCCCGGGACAACTCTTATCAAACTGGGAGCCCGTGGTCTAATTTGTGTCAGTTTAGGGGTCCGTGGGGTGAAAACATTTGAGAACCACTGTGTCTAAAGATGGAAGACATGACAGTCCAGGCACGTCCAGGCACGGGCCAAACTCAAAGTTCATGAAATAAAATGTTTCTTATCAATCTGATGTTTGACTCAGACGTTATCTGCGGAGTCAGAGGAGAAACCTCGGTCCGGTTTAACATTCTCACTTTAAAACAGCAGCTGATCGCTGAGCAGACTACTGAAACCTACAGAGGTATAAACATGCAAAAGAACTTTCAGCTGTTGACCTGAGACATTTGGACTTCTTTGATTATTTTCATATGTAGCGACTGGGAGAAAACTATGAGCCCAAACTCAGGAACCACACAGGCAACATGTCCACATAATAAAAACTACAAGTGGAAATGAACCTTCCAAACCCAACTACATGAAACCTAGAGCTGCCCTGCCATGAAGGACAGGGGAGGACGGGGGCAGAGGGGGGGAACCTGCCTCCATCTTGGCTCCAACATCAAACTGTGCAGCCAGTTTCTCCCCCTGCAGGCCTCCACTAACTGTGTGACTCTCTCCTCTGAACCTTTAACACCTTCAGCACAAACTCTCCGAGCACAGTTCTGATCTGACATCAGGTTTTATTCCCACTCGGCCTCCACACACACAGTAACAGCGCTGCATGTCGGCCTTTCGTCTGCCGCCTCAGTCTGGGATCATTTCCATCAGCTCTTCTCCTGCGAGTAAAACATTTTCACACGCGGTCCTGTGAACAGGACAGAAACCCAGCAGACTGCAGCACCAGCGTGAACCGGGGTGTAAAACACGCTCTGATGCACTCACCAGCGTTCTCCTCGCTTATTCACACAGTTCAGCACATTTACCTGTCCTGAAAATCCCCTGACATTCCAGGAATTCCAGGACCAGTGAATAAAGTTTAAGAGTCCTTCAGGTCCCTGAAACCCGGCCAGAGAAGGAAAGCATTGAGGTGCAAATTTGTTCTTTCTATTCAGTGCACAGAGCAGAACCACGGGGAGAGACCCTTTAATGACCCCGAGATGTTTGTCTTCATCAGAGCAGGCAGATGTTAGAAAGCTGCTACACCAGTCAGCACCACGATCGGTGAGGTTTCTGAACAAAACAACCTGTGCAGCAGATAAAGCCAGCGGTGCAGGAGGCTGAACGAGCAAGGCACTTACCCTCAGAGACCGGAGTCCGACTCCCACTCAGCCCCGTCAGAACTAAAGTAATCCAACAGCGACCACAAAGACCAGGACCGACAGACACGACGGAAAGCCCTGACAGCAGCGGAGTGCAGAGAGAAGCAGCTCAACAGGGAGAGGCAGGCAGAAATGTGTTCAGAGAGAGGATCAGGCTGCAGCCTCGGACAGCTCCACCCACAGCTCGCTCGCTCTCTCTCTCTCCCCCGCTGAAGCATGCGAGGCTCTATCAGATCCACCAAACAGCTGCTAACACACAGACACACACAGTGAGTGTTGGCAGGGGTTTACAGCACATTCTTTGGACAGCAAATCAAACCTTTAAATAGGCCAGAAGAATCCTCCTGACCTCCACAGAGAGCTGGGCCTGGTTTAGAGCGGCTACTAAAAGCTGCACAGATCAATATGTTCACATCAATAATGGGGCAGATGACTTAGTGATGTCACAGCGTCTCTGGGACATTATCACATACATGGGACATTTCCTGTTCTGGGACGTCTCAACTGTTACAGTCTGTGCTTTTTTTTTTGCTTTGCTTGTGTTTCTGAGACCGCCTGACGATAGCGTGCCGAAAACCTTCTATGGAGAGAGCTAGCTACTGAATGCTAACACACTGAACGCCACAGCTGAGAAACGCACAACATTAAAAGCATCTGTAGTTTGAAATCTGCAGGATCATACTTTTTAACACCGGAGGAAGCTTGAAAAGATTTATGCAAGCAGAAGCATATTTTTAGGAGTGAGCTCAGCTATTCTGCAAACTGCTCAGTGTGGTTTCAGGAGCTTTTATAAAAGGAGCCCAGGGTCAAACATCCCTCACCACGTTACGGACAACAGAAACTTTACAAACCAGGAAAAGAAAGAAAAACACCTGAACTGCAGCAAGATGTTTTTATTTCATCAGACGGCAGCTGGGAGGGATTCGGAGAGAAATCTGAGACAACTCCCCATGTCTGAAACATTAGATATTCTGCTGCTATCAGCGCTGTTCGGATCAGTCTGCCTCCGTGTTCATCGGACACTCCAGAAGCCGGCTGCTGACCAGCTCCAGGCGCCGTTTACAGACATTCACGAGCATCACAGCCGACACCAGAGCCCGGCGTGGTCCAGTGTCCCTGAGACCACACCCAGCTGGGCCGCAGTGTGCACAGGGTGGCAGGAAAACGGCCGTATTAGACTTTTACAAGGCCGCCCAAATGGTAACAATGAGAGACTTTATCCAGCTGAACGCACCGCATCACAGTCTGCAGCGCTCACAGTGTGAATGTGTAGGTAGCCTCTGGAAAGAGATCAAAATAAACTGCACACTTCGAGTTCAAAGGTGGGTCTGAGATGGTTGCAGATGAAGAACCGTGGCCTCGTTAAGACCCGTGCGTTTGGATTCTGCTTCTCGGTTCCTGACTTCCTGCATATCTCAGCTCCTGATTGAACTGCATTTTACAGTCCATCAAAGTGTCTCTTATCTGCCAGCAGCTGCTACGCCAACCTAACGTCGCCTCATTTGTTACATCAACAAAGCGTGAAGACGAGAGCACCAGCTGCAGTCAGGAGGTTCGGTGCGAGGGAGGAAGCAGCTCCAACATGACGAAGCGTTTCCTTCGACACGGCGTGAATCTGAAGGAACGCATCACCGTGTTCAACGTGTCGCGCTCTCCCAGCAGCAATGACGCCCCAGATCCAGCTAACGCTAACAGCAGCAACGTCTCAGGTACAAAACACAGGTGAGCCGAAGTTCAGCTTTTATACTGAAGGGAAACCAACGATGGCTACAGATGAGACGAGTCCCAGAGACGCCGCTCTAGGACAGAGACCCCTTTTGCTTTAGCCATGAAGGGGAGGAGGAAGAGCATCTGTGATGAAGGGGTTGGAACCAGAAGCAGATGAGTAGAACCAGAATCGATAAATTGAAACGATACCCAACCCTAGCCTGGACACACAAGAGGCAGGAAGCTGCCGGCTGGCGTGCGTCGCCTCATCAAGGTGTGATGACATCGACATCTATCGAATGTACAACATAAAACTAATATCCAACTTCAAGTCGCCTTCAACCACCTGAAGTTTGGGAGCATTTTAGAAAGACACCCAACAACGTGCTGTGAAGCGAAAGTATCCCTGTGCACCGACGGCAGCACGGCACGAGCACGCCACGTTATCAGCCTTCATGTTAAAAGTCATTTCTGCCCCGCTGCTGTCATGGTTGTCAACGTTACGTTACACCGTGTGTCATCTAACATTCTGCCATTTCATATTTTCTGATTACTTAACGGCCTCATATGAGCGAGCTGTCTGGAGCTGCCGTGCTGCTCTGGACCGTCCCGTCCTCTCATGTTAGCTTTGAAGCAGCAGGTAGCGTCAGTTTGCTAACCCGCGAGCTAGCTAACCTTAGTTACATTACTTGTGTCGTTGTTCACTCTGTCATGGTGTTGGTGTCACGGTTACGTAGCCCGCCTTTATAATGCAGAGAAATATCCAGAGTTCCAGTTGGAAATGACATATTTCATTGAATTTACAAAAATGTTCTATATCGGGATATGATTTTTTTTGTCATATCGCAGAGCCCTGGGTCACAGCTTCTCTGCTGAGGTCGTTCACCACAGCATCACAAACAGCTGCTCTGGAACTGAAATGCACTTTCAGTGCCACAATATCACGTTCTAACTGTTATTAAGCCACATGGAGGAAACAGATGAGCTGCTTCCTCTCGGTGGGTTTTTGCTGTATCTGCTAACACTAAGTGGCAGCTGGTCCTCCTAACACCAGTGACCTTTGACCTTGAGGCTCTTTAGTGGGGCCGAGGGTCTCTGGGGAGACGACACGAGGGGGAATCAGAATTAATGAATAATAAGCGGCGTCGCACGGGGAGCTGCAGTACAGGCCGTAACTTTGACTGCCATCTAAACAGGAGTCCAGCTATCCACAGCGGGTCCCGTCCTCTCTCAGGGCCACACTGGATCTGTTCAGTACCGCTGTGCGCTAGAACCAACACCCAAAGGCCCCTACGCTGACTAGTAACAGGCCCGATACTGATCATGTTAGGTGGGCCGGGTACCGGCCACGATCCGGTTACTTTATAAACTTAAATATCACAATCAAACATATAAAACAACAACACAATACAGCTCAAAACAACGTAAACACATGAGCTTCACGACTTCTGCTTTAAGCTGCATTCATTCAGTCTCCCTGGTGCGTCCTCCTGTACTGACGGAGCGTTTACTCTAGGTGGGGAAATATATCGCAGATATGCAGACGGTTCTGAATTCATTCACAAATGCAAAAAGGTGGAACTCAGAAGTGCAGATTCACTCTAAATCTCACCGCCCCCTTCGCTGCAGCGTCCCATCTGGAACAAGTGTTTCTGTTCCTGCTGGTTCTTCTAACCTTCCAGCTGACTGGCCACAAGGTGAACTTATTATGGATCATTACAAATACTTTAGTCACACAGTGAGAACAAAGACCTACACTTTGGGTCACAGCTGTGTGGGTGAAGCTGGATCAATTCAAAGTGACCTGAAGGGTTTCGTCAGGAGGCTGGAACATGTTGCAGGATATTTTGGTTTTTGTGTACCTGTTTGAACTGCGTATCCAACGGTCTGATCTTCTTAAAGAGGCCGTTATCTCTCTGTGTTGGGTTCCTGATTCTTACCTCTTTATGCAGATGGTCCTCCAGGGTGGATAATTGCAGGCTGCTTCTCATTATGCAGCATTAAACTGACCTGCAAGCACAGAACCAGACATCACATCATGAGCTTCACCTGGTTCTGACTTTATTACACGTAATGGCTTCAACCTGACACGTTCTGGTGCTTTTGACCATTTGAAGTGTGTATATAAACAACAAGCTGAACTGCCCTGTGACTGCAGCAGCCGGGCCTGGGCTCAGAGCCCTGGCTCTGTGCTGCAGGTCACTTTGTGTGGTCCTGCAGCAGGAATGTGTGGATTCAGCCAAACGGAGCAAGAGTGTCGACAGCCTCACTCCACCCTCTGCTGAAGACTCAAGAGGAAGAGGTGGAACTCCTCCATCACCCTGCAGCAGCCATGATTAATGACTGCTGGCTGGAGAGGGTGAAAGTAAACACAGTGACGCGCCGTTAACCGCACAGGCCCAAGTACTTAATGATCCGTTACTGATGTGAGATGTTGTTCTACTCAGAGATCAGCCTGGAGACAACAGTGAGGGGTCGCCACAAGATGAGGAGAGCTAAGCTAACCGAGCAAACCACAATGCACAGATGTGTCGCAATATGTTCAGACGTGCAGGGTACGCTTCACGCTCTCATGCGTAGCAGGTTGAAGGTGTTGGCCCACTTAAAGCTGATCTCTAACTTCACATTACTGCCAAAGTGTTTATTTTATTAATACACACACAGGAAGGGATGTAGCTAAGTTGTGGGTTAGCATAACGAGGCTACAGCTGCTGCTGCCAAGCCAACATGACGCTAACATGCAGGGAGGACAGCACAGCAGCCCCAGACTGAGATCCTCACAGCTCTCCTGCTGCTACAGCTGACATGACAGCAGCAGCAGGTCTTGGTGAAGTAAAAGCTGAATGTCTGTGGGGAAGTCATCAAACGTTACAGACACACACATCATGGCTGGAACTTCGCCGTGTGTCCGTATGTTTAACATCTACAGAGCCAGGGCACAAACGGCAGGTTGTTTTTCAGCGCACACAGAACGGACCGCGAGGAGATAATCACACCTTTAAGTTCCACACATTATAGAAATGTACCTGTGAAGGTGAACATCATGTCGGCTTTGTTAATGCAGTGCAGACGTCCAACTCTACCACAGAACAATAACACAACTGACAACGAGCAGACGGGATCAGTTCATACCACAGAGAAAGGAACAGAAGCCCGGTTTTCAAAAGTTTGATGTGTCCAGTTCCAGGTCTCTCTGTAATCTGCTGCAGGTCCCAGATCTTTGTGTCGACACAGACTGTTAGATACCTGGTGACAAGGTGACTCTCTTCCAGATCATGTGATGAATCACCATCAACAACTAGTGTTTTTAAGACAGTGTGTCAGCTGTTAAGGGCGGGAAACACGACGAGCGCTGCTGCTCTTTCATTGGTTCATTGGGCCTGTTCTGGTCCAACACATTCTGGACCAGCTCATTTACGCCGGGCACTAACAGTGTTACTACAGTTCCTCCTGAGCATGAAGGTCTGAACCACACCACCTATGAAGCCGTTCAGCTTCCTGTCTGCATTAACTCTCTGTGAGTGCATACTCTGTCCCGCTGTTCTGTTGTTGGAGCTGGTCATTTAAAAACAGCATCAGTCTAGTGAACCTTGGCTCTGAAGGGGCCCCTGTGGAGTCTGCCTACAATCCAAACCTTTGAGGTGTCCGCCAGGCTTCCCTGGAGGGCTGCCTGAAGCAGACACTTCAACCCAACTGCAGCTTCAGGGGCCTCAAAGCTGCCTCCTTTCATTCGGCTGCTGAATATGTAGAGAGGAGGCCGAGGGCAGGAGGGCGAGCGGGGTCGGCTGGCAACGGATCACTCAAAGCTCACACAATCCAGGGAGGGTTAAATCAAGGGCACCTGGACTGGGCTGAAGATACTTGAAGACGTTTCTCCTTCTTCAGTCAGGAGCACTAACGAACCAACCGCTTTTTATCACCACCACCTGGAGGACTGAGCCTCTTCAGATGATCCCAGCTACGTTTCTACAGGAAGCATTGAGAGATGGATTAACTGCTGCTTTAGATCCAAACACGAGATCTGACGATCAATAAGGAAATATAGGTATCATTTAAAATGTTACGCTACCTGCACCAAAACCAGTACCCTTACAGTGATACCGATACCAACAGTACTTCATCACTCTCATAAAATGCCACCTGTTGAAGCCGTAGTAGCTGATTGGTCACCTATTATTAGTTTTACTGTTGTTATGGACAAGCAAGGTGATCTATTTTATTTTTTCTTGTTTCAAATAACTGCTACATAAGTTTTGGGAAACAGATCCTGCTCATCCTGATTAGTTCATCCTCACAGGTAGTTTTATATACGGGGAAAGACTGCAGCTCGGGAGTTTTTTTATATGTGAATGAGAGACGAGGAAACAGTTTAGTGACAAAATAAGTTGTGGGAAACAAATTTAAACTAATCAAACTAAAATAACAACTTATTGATGCTTGTGTTGAAAGTAAACAGTGGAATGCTTTTTCCTTTAGTGGTGAGTCAAACCTCCAAAACACGAGTCAGTCTGTTTAAAGAAGTCACTAAACTACACTAAAGACTCTCAGAGTAAAGAGAAGCTGCACGTCCAGCCGATCAAAGAAGCTGCACCTGAAGCAGCCGCAGCTGCAGCCGGAGGCTCCGTCAGGAAAATCAGCTGCTGCGCCACAAAAGCTTGAACTGGTGTGATGGAACGCAGCGATCGATCAGTGACAAGTGATGGAAACAGCAAATAAAAATGTACAGAGACGTGTTAAATGATCCCAGAAGATGGAACCAACAGAAAGCCGAGCTGGTGGTGAGAAACACTGAGGAACACTGCGGCTGTTAAAATCAGCACGGACTCGGCGCTGTTATCTTTCGATACCACAGAGGCATCGAGTAGCGATACTTGTCCCTACTGTCTCTGTCAAGATAACTTTACTGGTGCTCAGAGCGGCGAATCCGCTGTCAACTGTGTTTCTCAGTGGTGTTTAAATGCTGTGTGTGTGAGGTTGATGTGGTGAAGGTGTGTTTAAGTTGCTTCACACTGAGCTCTCTTGGCACTTCACATCTTTGTTTGTGGAGTTATTTGTAAATCCTAACAGGTTTACTTGTATTTGCTGTTTACTGTATAAAGTGAAACACTGTTTATCAGATTAGACGTTCATCTGTTTGCTTTGTGTGCATCTCTGGCTCACGTCGTCTTATGCAACAGCACAGTGTACATGTGTGAACGTCTCAGTGAAAGCTCTCCCAGCCTGTATGTGTTCTGATGACAGCGAGGACGGGACGTCCAGCATGCAGTCACATGCAGAGCCTGAGCCCGGCTGAATGGAGAGCGGTGATTACCCAGCCTGCCTCGGTGGGCCGGCCTGTGTCTGCTTCTGTATAATTACTGAGCTGTGTGAGCTGAGGGGGACGAGGCATCGACAGTGTCGCTCTGCTCTGATGGAAAATTACCGCCGAGTGCTCGGAGCTCTCTGAGCGACAACACGACTCATCGGAGAGGAATGTGAACAGGTTTTCCACCTCGCAGAACAAATTACAGACAGCCAATGAGGAGGAGGGCCGGACGCAGCCCTCACAGAATAGCTTTTTCTTGGCCGGCTGGTCCGGGGCCTCTGTTTCAGAGAGCAGGACCTCCCAGCTGGCTGAGGGATTGCTTACCGATAAGTGATTATTGCAATAGGCAACAAAAATATAAACAGGGAACAAGTGTTTATTTTATTAATAAAACTATGACTACAGACTTTATTTGTCCATTAAAATCCGAAAGAAATGTCTCCTCGCTCTCTACCTCAGCTCCTGACGTCACGGCGTCCTCTCTTTTACAAACGGCAGTATGATGTAACCATCAGGATGTGCAGCACGTGTACAGAGTCTGATCTTGTACCTGGTGTTCTCCACCCTGGAGTAGTGAGTGACATGTTGGGTTTTACTGCTGTAGATGCTGAAGGTTGAGCTCATTTTAACTCCTTCAGATCCTCCTGGGTAGTTTCATCTACAGCAAAACATCATGTTCTATAACATCAGATGCGTTTGTGCGGTGAAACCCCTACAAATGGTTCAGAACTCAGCAGCCAGTCTGGTTTTCCATCAGCCCAAAAGGACTCATGTCACTCCATTACTCTCCACTGGCTCCCCGGGGCCTCCCAAATCAAATCCAAGTCCCTAATGCTGCATACAAAGAGACTACTGGGTCTGCCCCATCTACCTGAACTCCACAATCCAAGCCTACGTTGCTTCTGGGCCACTGCGCTCCTCCAACGAACGCTGCCTGGCTCCGCCTTCCCTTCACACTAATCAGCATCAGACCCTGTTCTCATCTGTGACACCACTCTCTAACTCTTACTTCTTCCCCGAGGTATTTACCCCACTGATGCTGACAAGTGCTAACAGCTCTTACTAGTATTCATTGTCACTTGCAGATCTCTTATTTTACTGATGTTTGTATGCTGTTCCTCAAATGTAAGTCTCTTTAGGTTAAAAGCGTCTGCCACATGAGTAAATATGAATGTTTGTAGAAACTTTCAGAGAGAACCTGAGGCCGGAGCAGCAGAGTGAGAGTTGAGAGGCTGAATGAGAGAGTCTGAGCGGGCGTGTCCTCCTCAGCCTGCTGTTTATCTGCAGTCTGACTAACCCAACAATCAGCCTCTGATTTACTCCCACCAGGCCAGGTGAGCCTACACAAACCATTACATCCATTTATCTGCTGTGTAGAAACAAAAACAGACTGCGACCCTGCATCCATCGCTTACCGTGCTCGCCGGGAGGACAGTCTTTGTTCCTCTTCTCCGACACGGTGATTCAAGTCCAGGCCTGCAGCTCGGGAAGACGCAGAGTGAAAATCACAGCCCTGCAGGTGGAAAGCAGAGCCTTCAGGGAGCTAATGACAGCGTGCCTCTCCCTTAAATCACACGGGATGAATGATCTCTGCTCCAAACTTAACGACACTTCTAAACAACCCAGCCATGCTTTATCCAACTCAGCATGAACACGTCTGATCCCTTTCATAAACAGGGCTGAGTGAAACTCACCCGCTCTGTGCAGGACTGACAGTGATAGGAGTAGTTTGGGTATTTATTAAGCTTTCTATTGGAAATCACAAATAAGGCCCCATCCATGTTTAGTACTACAAAGGAAGAACCAGATTTTATTTGCATGGACCAATAACGAGCTGGGACTGTTACTGAATGTAACGCGAGACTGTGGCGGCGGAAAACAGACTGGGAGTTGTCGCAAAGTAAATACGGAGACATACACAATACAAGTGTATAAATGTTATTTTCACAGTACAGCATATTTTCATAAAAACACGAAAACTAAAACTCTGTCAGCATCATCGTGTTTCTGCTTTCACTGCTTGATAAGAGCCAATCAGGAAGCCAAACATGACCGTCTGCGTCATCGCTTCTAAAGTTCTTCATTTTTGCCCTCTCTGGAGTTTTAAAACAAAAAACGGGGTCAGCAGCGTTTTCAAACTTCTCTGTTTTAGTTCTTTATTTTTTTTTCAGGACGGGAGGAGCAAACGCAGTAAAAGGTCTCCGTTTTAAAACCAAAACTCAGTAGTGTGGGCGGGGCCTGAGATTAGCAGCACTTGATGTAATAACAGCCAACACCTTATGGAAACATGAAAACACATCAACATTAGGGCTGTTATAAAGTGTACGCAGTGAGTCTGAAACACAGAGGAGTGTTGTGCGGGAGTCTGCAGCGTTTCAACACGTTTACTACCAGTTCATGACTACCGGACTTTAAATGAACCGCAGAACAACATGTGGAGGTTTTACAGCACACTGACAGCTTCACTTTACAAACTGTTAGCAAGTCAGACAGACAGCATGTGTTCCTCGTTCTCAAGTCCACACATCAGGGCTAGGAGCTAAAGCTAAGGACTCGTTAGATCTTTCTCTCAGCACTTCTATAGAAACCAGAATACGACCACACTTCAGCCGTAGTCCTCCGAGCAGCTGCTGACTGGGACGTACGACTGAGGACTGACACTGATAAAGTCGACATGTGCCAGTCCTCTCGGTAGATGTTGAGATATTTCACAGGATAAATAAAAAGTGCGGGGGTCATTACAGTAATCAGGAGGTACCATGGGCAGCTTAATTAAAAATGATGGCAATCAACCTGATAATTGTTGAGATATTTCAGCCTGGATGGACTGACACGCCGACACTGACAAACCCAAGCAAGATCTATAACTAATCACACAGGTAACTAATAACAACTCTGATAACCAGTGAAACTCTGGTTCCAGCTTCTCAGTCTGCTGGATTTCATCTCTCTCCAAACTGAACCCCGTGTTTGTGGACTGTTGTTCAGACTGAATGAACTCTCCTGTTCTTCAGATGTGGCTCCGCTAACGAAGGCTACCATGCTGCCATCAAGCTAAAACAGTGCTCTTCATTCTCAGCCAGAAAACTGTGTTCTTTAAACGCAGTTTGAGGAGTGATTTGTTAATTTGCTGACCAACACATAATCCAGTCCAGAACCCGGCACACTGATACCGCACATCCACAGACTTACTGTCTCTCTCTGGACCACATCGTCTGGCTTCAGCTCATCCTGCAGGAGGAAACCTGCTGCCGAGCTTCAGGATGTTTAAAACCTTCTTTCTGACGGAGGGAGGTTCACGCCTCGCAGTAAACCCGCCCGGGCGGTATGTGCCGTCGCTGGGGCTCGGAGCCGGGAGCAGGGCGAGGCTGTGATTCAGAGGATAAACTCTGAGCAACACCAACAGCTGAGGGCTTAGACCAGCCACAGATCTGAGAACAGCTGCTGGAAAACAGATGTGTCACGCTCCGTGTGTGCAGGACAGGTGGGGTTTCCATTACATGCAACCCTCCACCTCTGAAGGGGCAAAACACTCTGGAAGACCCCACTGAGGGCTGGAGGTCCAGGACCGGGGATTTCTGCGACGTGAAAAACACGGACGCAATCGAGGAATTTGATTTTAAAAATGGAGTCAACTGTAAATATCATGGAATTTACCAAAATAAAGTCTCTAAGGTATTTTATTTCAGATGTTCTGTACCACTCGCCATCAGATTTGCCACCAATGCCCCTTTAAAAACCCATCAGTGCAATCTATACTCCACCATAGGCTGGCCGTCCCTGCATACTAGACGAAAACTTCACTGCTTTAGTTTAATTTCCAAAACCCTCCTGGGTCCGACCCCCACCATATCTGAAAAACCTACTACTATGCTCCTCCTCTGTGTATAACACGTGGTCCTCTAACCATATACAACTAAATACTCTAAAAGTAAACACTTTGGTCACCTGGCCTTCAAAGTCACCTCGCCCTGTGACCCTAAAACTGGACAAATTTAATTCTTTAACGTTTTTTAAGAACAATATCATGGACATTTTCTCAGACACATGCCAGCGTGTCCTCCCAAACACCAATAATCGTTTATGAAGTGTGATATTAAAAGTGTTCTTTTAATATCACTATACAGAGAGGCTGCGAGCTGATGATCTCCTAACCGTTTGAAAACGGTTAAACACGATCATTGTTTGCATGATCCTGTTGAAATCCATCTACAATTAAAACTACAATAGTTAAGGATGCACCAAATGTTTGGCCACTGAATTAATCTGCCGGAAATAGCAAATAAGCACTTTTTGTGTTCGGCCTATTGAGTCAAAAGACCAAATAAATTTTACCAAACAGTCACGTTGACATGTCAGCAGTGTGGAAGTATTTTAAAGTGTCCGAGCAGTTTGCTGAACTGTCTCCCAGCGCATCCACTCCATCTGTGGATGACTTCTTAGAAAAGAACCGCTTCTAGTGTTTCTGTCTCTTGTCTGTGAGAAGGTGATTAAGCTAGCCACGCCTACATTTTGAGTGCACATGTATTCCAGCCTTTACGGTAACTGAACTGGCCCAGAGCGAGTTGGCAGGCAGGTTAGAGACTTTATCCTGTCAGTTTGTCTCTTTAGTATGAAGAGAGGCTGTGACGTCTTCATGTTACAACATTATTTATCAAACCGGGTCGGACTGGATGAATTTAGCGCGAGGAGGAAACACATGTGACAACGTCCGTTTTCCAAAATAAGGCGTCTGTACAGGATGGAAATAAGATTAATTGGATTATATTCACAGAAAGTATAAAACATATTACATGTGTCCATTAAAAGTAAACGGACACATGTAATTCACTTTACCGGACCCTCTCGGGCCCCGGACCCCCCCACCATAGTCTCTCCACATCCTGTGAGAAACACTGAGGAAAACGCTCATTTTGACTGATTAATTTATGCAGTAAAAAAAAAAAAAAAAAAAAAAAAAAGGCAAAATAAAAGGAAAATATGTGAATGCACTTGTTCGGTATTTGGCTAGAGCATTCATTCTTTATCCAGCGGAAAGCTAAGGCTTCTGACGTTCAGGCCGTCACGTTGCATGCTCGTGGTGATTTCAGGAGACTACTTTACATACGGTGAAAAAAAATCATGTGACAAGACGTGATGGCCAGGTGAGTGGAGCAGCGTAATTGTAATGCCAGAGGGAGAAACACTACGAGTCAGTAGTTTAGTATATGGTTCACACAGTAGGACTAGCTCTAACATACTGTAGTATTTGCAGTATGTTTATGCCTAAGCTCAATGTGAAAACCACAGCAGCACAATCACCATCAGCAGCCCAACATCCCAGCGGTCAGCGCTGAACTGATCCTCCCCGAGTTCCTGCTGCCTCATTCATCAGACAGCTCAGGACATGCTGCTGCAGAGCTGACGAGTTACACAACGCGTAGCTGCAGGGAAGCTGAGCGACGACAGAAATTCACAACTCCAGGACGCTTCGTGTCAGTCAGACCACCAGGCAGGAAAATAAATATATACTAAAACTGAGTCCTGAGGTGAAACAGTCACTTAAATATGGAACCATTTCCTCCAAAGCTCAAAGATGGCAGAAAGATAAACTGTTTACAGCCAATACAGCTCTGATCAAAGAACTCCACAAGTAAAGAATGCAGTTGTTATCATATGATCTACTTTTACAGCCACATGAAGGTCAACAACAGCCATTTCCAGAGCTGCTCCTCCTCCATCTAACTGATGGGAGCTCATTCTGCACTCTGCAGGTCCACAGGTCAAGATTCAAGACTCATTTAGTATCATTCCTTCATTTATACATAAACAGTTTCCCCAAAAAGTGGCAGTGGTAATAAAATAATATATGAATCATAAAAACAGAAAAAGATGGATTAATAAACACACGTGCCCCAGGTCACAGCAGTCCAGCTGTGCTGTCTGCTTTGTCCTGTACCTGCACACACCTGACCATGGCTGGAGGTGGACTAAGCTGCTAGACTACTTCCCTCACCTCTGTTCAGGTGAGGGTTTCCTGTTATCAGACCGCTCACTACTATTTCAACTTTAGAGACTAAATAAAGTTTTGCTTTTTATTAATTGTTGGTTAAACTTTATTCTGCTATTCAACGCTAACTCAGAGGCTTAATAACTAACTTACCTACATAATTTACAATTAATTTTAACTTACATAGTTAACTTACATATATAACTTATTTTTAAATGACTTCATTACTAACTTAAGGTTAGTTAACATTACATAAGGTATTGGTATTTAACAACCTTACATAATAAACCTTCATATATAACTTTTTTGCATAATTAACTTGCCTATATAACTTACTTTCATAAGTTATGTAACGTTAATTAAGTTATGTAACATTTAACCTGTATTCTCAGGCAACAGTAAAAACTTTTCGCTCTGTCATCAGCTAACATGCTTAGCTAACATGCTAACTAGCAGCTCCCGCCGTTACAGTCACACCTGGGCATGCTAACAGCTAGCAGCTAACAGCTAGCAGCTAACAGGTGAAGGTTATCTGGGCAGTCAAACAGCATCACTAACGTTTTCCAGCCGTTACCGGCTACCTGCCGGTGGTTTAATGCTAACGTTAGCCGAGGTGTAGCTGACGTTTTGTTAGCATCGGTTTAACGAGCCAGACTTTCCTGAACCCTGCAGGTGTGTCCTCACTTACCATCCGGCGGGGACACCGAACCCTCCGTGAGATGGACGTTTAGCGGCCCGGTTCAGTTCAGCCGGTACAAACTGCTCGGCGCTCGTTAGCTTTGTCATTTACATATTTAGTTCTTCGTGTTTCTGTGTTAATCTTTCTGTCTGTTAACACTTATTTTCATTCAAACCTTCGTCACTTTCTCGCTTCCTACGCGAAGTTGTGTCACTTCCGGCTGCCATCTTTGTTTTGATTTGACAATCAGGGGAATCAATTCAAACTGAATATTAAATGATTATTATCTTGGGAATTGTTGGGTAAATAATCTATGGAAAAGAGTTTGGTCTAGACCTGCCTCATATGAAAACTGCAAAGAGAGAACTTTTGTGTCCTTCACACTGGGACATGTCGCTTTCTGAAAGCATTTGTTAAAAATGGTCTGAAAAAACAACAAGTGTTGAATAACAAAGGAAAATGCTTTGAGAAAGGTTAACTGCACAATAAGAAAACATGCAAATTAAATAAATGTGCATTGTCCAAAAAAAAAAAGGTAACTTCAATTTAGAACACAAGCTGCTAAACTCTGATGTATATTCTGTTATATTTTATATTTTGAATTGTCACCTGCCAGCTTTTGTGTCCCTTCATATAAATAAAGACATTTCCACAATAAAATGGTGCAGAAAATTTCTCCAGAATGTTTAATGCTCAAAAATTACTTGGGGAGGACTCCCACACCGCTACTTATTTATTTCACCATTGAATATTACAACCTGTGAATTCCTAAATGTGAGTGGTGTCCTTTATTTATTTATTCAACAAGTAAGTAATTATAATTAATTAATATTGTATAGCTGTGTTTGGTCTGATACCCAACTGATTTGAATCATGACTGCAGTAAGCCAGCTGCGTACCATAGTTTGGACAACAGACTCCTCGATCCAGTTAAATGGGTGTATCCCAAATTCATTTACGGGTGTTTCCTGTGACTTGTCTTTTTGTTTTACTAAACTGAACTGAGGTCTTCAGTGCTGAATGTGTTAGTCAGTCTGTCGTTGTTGGTACATGATGTTTTCTCTGTCTGCTCAGGTCACCACAGCTGGTATGTGATGTTTTGTGCAACCAATGGTACCACACCTGTTCAGCACAAACCTGCACTGTGCAAGTACATAATTAACTCATAACTCCAGACATCTGATGGAGTAAAAATATAATGCTTCCCTCTGACACACTGGAGAGAAAGTAAAAAGTCTCACTAAATAGAGTAAGTACAAGTGAAATACTTATGGTAATGAAGAAGCAGAGTCAGCCGTGTTCATTCAGAAAAACACACCTCACATTTATTGGCTTTTAGTTCTCTGGGCAGAAGCCCAAGCTGACAAACATTTGGCACAAAGACAAATTGGTTTCATTTGATTTTCCACACAACAACCTGAATCACAGATTAAACAAAGAGCTCGGAGACAAAAACAAACGTGACGCTGTGCAGAACATTCCTGTGTCTGTGTTGAAATAAAGAGTGATTAAAGCATCTGCCGCTGACAGCTGAAACACCATAGAGATGATTAACAGGACAGCTACCCCCACCTCACAACTGGTCTGGTGTCAGCTCCAGCTCAGGTATCTGTACAGTGTAAGGGCTTCTCTGCAAGCTACAACATGTTGCTGTCTGTTATTACAGTATTTACAATGAGCAAACAAGAAAGGCAGCACACACCACCAACAGCCTGCTACACCAGCTCAACTTCTACTTCATCAATTCAATAGTCAAGTTCAACAGGAGTTCAAGGCCAACAGCAGCAGAGCCGACAAAACCGTGTGAGGCTCCAGTGACCTGCAGGGGGAAGCAGCCAGCGCCAAGCAGGAAGCTGCAGTTTGCAGGAACAGAGCTGTGAAACAAGACTAACCACCAGATTCTCCTGTTGAATTCATCCAGAGGTTTTCAGGGAGCCTTCCCGGGTGGGCGGGGTTCAGACGGAGATCACATAGAACAGCCTAAATGTGCGTACCTACAGTACAGTTCAGCAGTTTGGGGGAAGTTTAGCTTTTTTACACTTTCCTACAGTGAGAAACTAAAAAAGACCTGAGGACAGACCTCTGTGTGTATTTGGTGTCAAACAGAACTATTATGCTGTCTCGGTTCGACTGTTGAGTATCTGTGGGATCAAATAACATAATCATGATCTCATAGGCTTCCAGGAACTGAGCGAAACTAAGTTTCTGAAAACCCCTGAATGGATCTCAGACAGGATGATTCTTTCACTTTGCTGATGCCACACAGGGAACGACTTCTTCCCTGGCAGGTGCTCCTTTGAGATGCGTTCATGTCACGTGGTTGGTCAGGTTTTCAGAATTCTCATTTTGCATCCAAGGGAGGTTGGATTTTTCTGGAAGCTCTGACAGATCGGACTCTGCACTAAACGCCACAGACGCTCAGATCTAATAAAGCTTATAAAACCCAAAGTTAACATCATGTGTTCGGGTTACTTTCCTCGTTGGTAACCAGTAATACGAGTGTAATCTATTTAAATGTTAGAGAGGTGGGATTACTTTTGAATTGATTGGGTTTGTTGGTGCCAGTAGGAGTTGGTTTTGGTATCGAAACAACAGCAGCAGCAGGACAGCTGCCATCTTGTCTGATGATGGTAACAATCAGCTGCAAACATGGAACTCTTTCCTGTTGATGCCCCACGTGACCTGAACGCAGCATCAGAGGGATTAACAGCACGTGTTGGTGTCGTGATATGAACACCGGACAAGACACTGAGCAGAGACAGACTGTTTGATCAGAAGGAGTGAGAGCAGCTCTGACATTAAGGCAAGCTGATTCTTTGGCGAAACAAGCGACGCAGCAGACTGAAAACTAAAGAAGGCGTCACAGAAACGTCTTCAGTGTGCACACAACCTGCTGGTGGAAATATAAACCTGTGGACGGTCTGATGATTGGACGTTACCTACACACACACAGCTACACGACAGAGTAAGGCAGTTATAGACACAACGTGTAAATGTTCATTATGCTCTTTGATTCACACTTTGGTCAGTCAAAATAAACTACTCTGTAGATTGGATATATTTGCAGATTTACAAAATACAGTTAGATTTTACATGAGCAGCTTTGACAGAATAAATAGACGTGTGGATGTTTACAGCTGACTCAGAGACATAAGGCTTTAAAAAAACTTCTGTCAGCTCAGTTTAAAGTGAGGCAGACAGCAGCTTTCACTCATTAAAGGATCATCACGTTTTATTACAACACGGCCTAAACTGCAGCACTTCTCTCAGCTGTGAAGATGTGATGGAGCCACGAGAAGCCAGATTTATCCATCAGTCAGTGTCTGCCTGCAGCAGGATGGTGTCGTTAAGATTGATTACACACTAATTATAGAAGAACTGATCAGCGCTGTTTGTCCTATAAAGATCTACAGCAGAGCAGCAGCAGTAAGACAATTCTGTCCATGAATGCTCTCAGCATTTTGTCACAGAGCCCAACAGCGCCCCCAAACTGTGAAGTGAATCATCAGTGGGCCAGGAGAACATTTTGGGATCAGTGGGAGCTGCTGAACACAACAACACGACCAGAAAGAAGATTTGATCCGTCTGAGGATATTTTACATTTTCCTTCTCGTCATCAAACCTCGTGTTCAGATCAAACCAGTAGTGAACTCCTTCCTCATGTTCCTTCATCACCATGAACTCACACACTGTAGTTTATTCTGTCCCACATACACCATCCTGCTGCCCCCAAACACTCACTACAGCTCCGCCGCTGAAAGTAGTCTCCAACAGATGCTCTATTCCCTCCTGTTTGTCTGATAGAAACTACAGCGAGCAGCTGTTTGAGGAAAATTACTGAGCCTTTTAAACATGAAACTATAAATCTGTGAGGAGTTTTAATGAGGTCATATTCTGCTTTTTGTCTTTTCCCCGTTCTTTTATAGTGTTATTTGTCTTATTTGTTCAGGGAGTTCCCATCTCCCACAGAAAACTCTGCTCCTGAACTGACCGCAGCTGGATTGTAGTCCAGCCTTTCCTTCAGTAACCTCTCAGCGTCACTCTGTTACACGCAGCATAATGCTGCCTAGCAGCTATTGTGGCTAATAAGGTTAGAGCCCCTCCAGGCAGTCTGAGGACATGAAGCTGCTGCTGTGATGTAGAGACAGAGCTCAGTTCAAAGAAAAATGTTACAGATTAATAACTCACCACTTTGAAACTCTTGATCCAGTCTAGGTACTGAAGCTGGTTCTGGTTGTTCTGGATCAGACCCGGGTTCCAAAATGTATGGCTGAACGTGGTTACTGACTTGTCAGGAGTCGCCCTACTCTGCTTCTGATTGGCTAGTAGTCCTTACCTAGGTACTGAGCATGTGCTCCCAAAAAAAAAACTTATAGAAGTGAGATGCTTCACTCTGCAGCTAAAACGGAGCATTGAACACTCAGGGTGAGAAGAGGAGCTGCAGCGGTGAGCAGTCTAAACCATGCGAACCTGTTCTGGTCCAACCCCTAAATAAAACGATGAAACCTGACAATGAGCAGAACATGACCTCTTTACAGATTTACGCCTTCAGGAGGAACCAATGGGCTCGGAGTTGAGAGCCACAGACAGGAAGTCAGACAGCTTGCTGGTTTGATTCTGAACATGATGGAGTAATGACAGAATAACACAGACAGGTGTTTGTTATTGTGTGTCAGGTGACTGACAGGAAGTGAGACAGCACTGATGTTTAAAAAGACCCAGTGAGGTGCGGAGCAGGAGTCAACAGCTGATCTCAGCAGAGACTCTGTGGACATTAATAATTATATAATTATAAAACAACATGTAAAACATTTCTTGTCAGCTGAAACATCTGGATCAGAGCTGGTGATGTGTGACCTCTGACCCCTGCAGTCTGGTCACATGGCTGCACACACAGGAGGGGAGGATGGGTCAGCCTCCATCATTAAACCACGTGGCTGTGAGACAGAGGATGACCAGCGCAGCCTTCATCGGGTGGACAGGAAGCTGCTGACAGAGAGGAGGCTTAGTGAGCTGGTTTCCTATTGGACGGTGTGGCAGGCCGCAGGTCGCCTGATGAGTGTGTATATGTGCGTTGCTGTGAAGGTGTCCTGAAGGTCCTGCTCTGCAGGCGATGGATGTTTAACTGATCTGGGATCTGTCGTTACAGCTGGGTGGGGCCCCGGCTGTGCGGCTCGCCGCTGCCAGGAGGGGGTGCCGTCACCAGGCTCCTCAGGTAGACGCAGGGGTTCCTCCTCCTCCCTGAGCTGGGAGGCGGCGGCGGCGGCGGCAGGGAGCCGGGAGGCCTCAGAGACGACATGAGAGGCTGCAACTCCTGCAGCGCTCCCACTTCCTCCTCTTGCTCCTCCTCCTTCTTCTCTGGGAAGCGGAAGGAGCCCTGCAACACCTGAGGTCCAATGGAGGAGGTGCTGCCCGCCATGCTGCCCGGAGGGGTGTAGGAGGCCG